CATGGAACGCAACGGGATCTCGTAGGTACCAGGGTACCGAAGACAATGGTCGAAAATCCATGTCAAAGCGGAGCCATCGGGGGCATCAAGCGGTTCTTCGGTGCGTGCCATTGTTCGGAACGATGAGACAAGGTGGACGAGAATCGAGTATGGAGAAGAAATTGAATGTTTCCTATTGCTGAGGAACTACGAGATGCCGGATATAAGAATAGTCGTCAAACCAAAAGGCTGGGACCAGTCGGGAAGAAGAGGATAGTCAAGGGGAGGTGTTGTGTGCGACGTGATGGTTCGTGCAGGTGATCAAAAAGGGCAAGAGTTGCTCGCAATGACGGCTGGCATCAAATGCGTGTAACGTGTCTTTCCATAGCACGGATATGCGCTTGGAGATCGAGCGATCAGTGATGCAGAGTCTCCTTGGCCGGGGAGACAGGAGCAGATATCCCTTCGGTTTCTGATGTGTGAGGGGCAACCGTTCCTATGGGAATCCACCGGGCTGATCAGGTTGTTGCGCGGGGAGCTGATGAAACCCGTTTAGCTTTCTTTGTGAAGTTCTTGGCTATTGGGTAATTTGGAAGTCGAAGGCCAGACCGAGGATGAGCGAAGACCCAGAATCGGGCAACGGGGAAGAGATTGATAGAGATGGCAGTTGGTTGCACAAGCGGGTATCGAGTTCCCGGATAAGGTTGCTTTCAAGCAAACAAAATAGACAAAACTGTGTGGTGGAAGCTCCGATGTAGCTAGGAGCGATATTCAGCGTCTAAGGAGGTAGGTACTTTTGGAGTTTTAACTTTGGATGGATCACGAGTGATGTTAAGGAATTTGACAGATAGCTTGTTGAATTCAACAGAAAAGGAAATCAGTAGAGAGTGAGGTGTAAGTTAAGCAACGAACGGAGGCGAACAAGGGGAGGGATAGGAGGATAGGGAGGCGAAGGCGTGATGTGTGATGTGTTTAAGGATTGGACTGAAGAGATCGATAGAGAAAGGAAGGTATGATGTGTGTCTGTCTGTCTGTCTAGATGTCTGGAACAAAGGAGGACAGACGATCGAGAAGGGGTCGGGGACTTAAAGAACGAGGAGGTGGATGGAAGCAGAGGGAGTGAACTAGTGTAGGAAGTGGAGAAGACGTTGTCTGGGCCGAGCGAGCGAGACTGTAAGAAAGGAAAAGAGGAGGAGGTTGAAAGCCGTTCTACCGGTACGCGTAGCTCCAGCCTGGGCCGGTGCCAGTTGGTGGATCCAGTGGGCAAAAAAAGGGTCGGGCCAGTCACGGGCTATCATCCCATTCCCGGGCAAGTGCAATTCCCTCGGGCTCCTCCTCTCCTCTTCCTCAGGATCGATCAATCAATTAATCCCGGTTCCATGGATGTCTCTCCTGCTCTAATCTATTCTTGTTTAGTATATCTGGTCTTATTATTTTTTTTTATTATGATATTATTATTTCACAGCAAAGTACATATGAGAATGGAGGAGTACTTAGTGCATAGGACTTCCACTCTCCGGTCCTTGCTCCGAACCACCCGCGTGCCTGGACTGCTTGTCTATCTCTTTGTCTGACTTGGACTGAAATGTGTGTCTCTTGTTAACACCCTCTGTCTACCGAGTGCACATCCCAATCAATTCCTTACCCGAGGATCAATCAACCCGCGGTGCGAATGCGACAAGAAAAAGAAAACAGGCAAGAACAAAAATAGGCAAAAGATAAACCACTCCCCCTTCCCGTCCGCAGGTCCTTTTTCCTCGGATGCACACTGGCCACAAGCTGCATAAGGTATGTGCAGTAGTGTGCAGTGAGAGCAGCCAGCAACATGAGCAGCAGCATAAGCAGCAAGTAAGCCAGGCTTCCGCGTAAGTGCGTCCGGGCTCCTTCTCAGCGGAACTGGATCGATCGGAAAAGACGACGATAGAGCAACTAAACCAAACCAAAACAAACCCCTCTCTCTCCTCTTCTCCTCCCCCGACCGAGGCTCTCAGGTCTCAACTCACCTCGCTCCTCACTCGGAGAACCGATGATGATTGATGAGACTACGGTAGACTAAAACCCGCCCTAAAAAAGGACTAGAGGGGCCGATTTTGTTAGGCCCAAAACAGGCGGACGGTCTGGAAATTGAGCCCAGGCGTTCCTGCGTGTCCGGTCGGTGGCTGTGGGGAGGAGGACGAGAACGCACGCAGGGAAGGGGAAATTTTTCTTGTCTCGCCGCACTGATTTATTTGCCGCACAAAAAATAGGCACACGACTGACTGACCTGGACGCGGGACTTTTTGGTCACGCTTTGCATTGCAATTTTTCCTTCCACGAAGGGGCGACTTTTCTCCGTTGGAGGCAGGCAATCAAATCGTATCTGGAGACATCCCGATTACCTTCTCTGCCAGTCACTCAGCCTCCAGATCATCCCACGGACAGAGGACTCAGGATAAAGGAAACCGGTAGACTAGGCTGTCCTCTAGCGTGGGCGTGCCTGTCAATCCAGGTGTCAGGCTCCTTCAATTGAGGGTCCCGACGGTGACTTTCTGCGACTACCGGTGGGTCTCTCAGTCAGGACACGCAATCCATTCACGATGGGAGAGACAGTGACTCCCCACACAGCAAGACATACACACAGCATAGGGCGATGGCAATCTCAATCGTCGTCAGTATAGACACGGATCACAGAGTTTCAAAATAGCATCGCGAGTTGCGTCATACACTGATGAGGCTCATAGATATTGCGTAGGTCAAGTGGCACAGATCAGAAACCCTAAAAGTAAAAGGAGCTGTCGGCAAGACTGTTGTGTGTTGTGTTTTCAGTTCTGATCTCTCCCTCTATCTCTGCGTGTGTGTCTCTCCCCCCTCCACTCAGTCATCCTCCACCGTGAGGATGGCGCGACCCGATTTGCCTGCTATTGTTTCTGACCTGAAACATACTCGGTCCCGACCGTAGGAGTCCGAAAGCGATGGGCGATGTGTAATGAGGTGGATGCTTACTCTACTCCATTCCGAAGAGTTGAACCATCGCTCCGTGCACGAGGCTACAGCTCGTCTCACTTACTCCGTAGGTCAATTGGGCGACAAAAGTACTGACTTGCTGTCCAGGACTCCAGTTGAGGGCTATGCCATCCAGACAGGTGGAGCGACAAACCCACAAACACCACGAGATGCATAGATCTAGACAAGACACCCCCCTCCCCCTCTCAACCTCCTGCAGCCCATCTTCCGCTACTGAGCACATCCATGACTCAAAAATCATCGAAATCTCCCTTCTGCGATCGGGGAGTTCCCCCCCCCCCTTCGTCGGCCCCCCTCCAATCCTTGTATTGCCCCGATCGAGATGGTACCTATCTGCATCAACTAAGCAGTAGGTACATTAGTAGATTACTCTAGTCCCACGAGGGGCACGTCCGCAGCAATAAGATCCCCGATTGGAAGTCGAGACGAAAAAAAAAAAAGCAAGCAACATCGCGAAAATCAGTCTGTCAGTGACAGATAGACAGACAGTCTTCACGCAGCGTGACTCACTTTCACATGGTAGGTACTGCATCGAACAATGACATATTGATAGTCCGTCTGCCTTCCCAATTCCCCTAGATCCCGAGCCGAGCAGAATTATGGGTCCCCATGGTGAGGATGATCATCGTCATCACCAACGGGAAGTCTTCCTGAGTCTCTCGGCGTTCAACCCTGAGACAGCGATGGATACTGTCGCCCTGGGACAAAGTCTACTTGTCGCAAGTAAACTCACAACCACCCAATTCAACCCCCAAAACTATAGAAACTTTATGGGTATTTGCTTGCCCAACGACTGACGTACAAGCAAACAGTACGACTCAAACCCGATTCGCGAGTTTCGCTCATGATCGACACGGGGGTGAATCAACCCGACGGATGGATGATCCTCAGTAGCAGGAGCCGAAGAAGCCATCGCACTTGGCGCTCTCTTGCAGTATTCCTCGACAACACCGCTTCAGCTTGTACTCATACTTAGAGGGCTGAAATCATAGATCGCACTAACAACGAATCGTGTAATCCACCTCTTTCACACCGCATGCCCGTCATCTGCACGAATGCAGTACAGTACCTCCGGAGTGCATCCCCTTCGGAAGAACTCTACCCCCCATACTCCGCGTAGATCGCTCGGTTAATTCTTCGCTGGCGTGCAACTACTAACTTTAGTCTGACGAGATTTATCCAAAGGGTCAGAAAGGAAGAAGAAGAAATAATTCTTCAGCGAGTAAAAGAACAAAAGCAGCAATTGCCATTGTATTGCGTTGCTTTTTTCTTGACCTTGGAGCTGCAGGTCTTCAGGGTCCTTTCACACCGGGCCTGTCGGTGAGACTCACCCCCATCCCCCGTGGTTCAGCAGATGTAACTGAAACTAGGGACAAACTTACATGAACTCTCCCCCAGAAAACACTCTCGTGGGTGCATTTACCCTGATTGGTAGCTAAATGCAGGATTGAACTGCAGGTACAGATAGGCACATGCACTTGCACTTGACTACCTTAGCTACTGCGATTGGAGTGGTAATATGGGTCGGTGAAGTAGGTACAGTAGTTGGTCATTGCTTTCCATTGCCAATTTATATCACTGGCTGCTAATGTTCAAGGCCCAGCGACCCTATGAGATCCCTTGCAGCGCGGTAGCAGATTGTACAGGGGGGCCAAAAAACAGGATGTCGTTAACCGCGCTTGAAGCGGGCCCCTTGGTCCCTGCCCAGCTGCACCTGTACCTGCACCTGCACCTGCAAGCTGTGAAGAACATGATAGAAATTTATCGTACTGCACCTAACTAGGCAAAAGTTGAACTCCGTACTGCAGCCGGTTCGCATCTGAGGTTTCGGTTTGGATACTGGCACACTGCCCCATACCCACTTGGCATATCCACAACTAACCAAACAACAACAAACTAGGTACAGTACTTTGTACTGTATAGCATACTTGATCCTAAACACCTCCCTCCCCCACGCGCTCCCTTTCACCACCCAAACCACCCCCCAAAGACACCCATCGACGACGAAAGGCAAGTGATCAAGGAAACCCCGGCGGGAAGAAGCTCTCATGGAGCCCGAACTTGGCCGCGATGCGCTCCCTCTCCCTCCGCTGCTGGTCGCCCATACCGTTGATTCTCGGAGCCGTGCGATGGTACGCCAGGGTGCGCACGAACTCATTGGCCGAGAACGCGTCCCCGTAGTAGTTCACCTCGATCGTCGACGACCGCACCACCGCAACGTCCCCGTGCACCGTTCGACCCAGGCACCGCGTCACGATGGGGTTGACGGGGCGGGTGTCGTCCGTACAGTTCTCCCACCCGGGGGTCGCCACCCCCGGCGCCTAGACGTGATAGTGTCAGTCGTTCGTGTCGTGGTGCGAGAAGAACGTGCCCGGCTCGTAGACTGCGGCCCAGTTCAGTCGCGCCTGGATCTCCTGTCGCTCCTTGCCCCAGTTGCCGTAGGCGTGGAGGGGGAAGGGTTCGAGGTAGTGTGCGTCTTTGGGGGGTTGGTTTGGGTCAGTGGCGGTGGTAGTGATGGGAAGGGCGCGGATCAGGAAGCAGTTGTGCTTCTGGGCGCCGGCGCAGGTGCGGCGGTGGCCGCGCTTCCAGTCGGCCGCTTGGCAGGTCGACGAGCAGTAGCGGGCCTGCTGGCTGGGGTGGCAGCCGGAGCAGCGGAGGGTGCCGGGCTTTTGGCAGCTGGGGACGGTGCAGGTGGGTGTGGCGTCGGACATGTTGATTTGTATTCTTCGCAGTTTTTGGTTGGGTGTCGTTGACACCAGCTGGTTGCGTTTGTGTAGATGCAAAGTAAAGGTAGGCTGTGCCTGCGCGCCAAGTATAAAGTTTGATCTTGTATCTTTTGCGCGATCCTCTTTCTACTCGGTGAATCTTTGTTTTGATGGATGCCAAGAAAGGCGGAGAGTATCCGTACAGCGGGAAAAGGAAATGTGAAACTATGATATAGTTTAGTCAATTGCAATTTGTGGTTACTGCAAAGAACAGATCCGACCACTGATCCAGGCGTTTTATACTGATCATTAAAGATCAGAGAAGAGTTTTCTTACCAATGGCTTCAAATCAATATTCACTCAGTATGAGGTCTATGGCGCAAGAGCTTGAGGGCCTAGAATCAACACGGAGGCTTGGTGGCCGGGTTTGTTGACAGCTGCATAGATTTGGTGCCGTGGTGGTCTTAGTGTCCGGTACTAGGGACTTATTTGCACATCCCGGCCCAATCAGAGTGCACCTGGCGCAACGACTCAAAAGTAGAAGTGTTTGATCGCGTACCGGTGTACCTACTAGTAGTATGCTTGTCTTTGTTGTGCATCTTTACCTGGCCGGAGTCGTGCTTAATCAACTCATCTCTTCTAACAATTGTTCACAGCGTAAAACATACATCTTATGCAATTCACGCCTGACGACGTAGCCGCCTCTGCAACATATAAATCAAGACCTATCTGCAACCGAACAGGGCCCCTCTCCTCAGCAGGGCAACATTTCAGGTTAGTCAAGCGTATATAGAAGTCAGAGAAGCTGTTCGTATGTCCTATTCGGAAGCTTCTCCAGTAATCTCTCTGTAAACAAACTAGAAGAAAGATTAAATAGGCCAGATGACCCAGAACACAGAATCGCTACACATTTGGAGACCGAGCACGGAGAATATGATCGCAATCGCCAAGCAAATCGGGGTCATGAACGAAAACATGAAAGTTAGCTCATAGCTGGTAAAAGCAAAGCAAATAGGTAATCGTTTCAGAATCCTACTGTAATCCCTATGGCTACCGGCGCCGAAGTTCAAGTGGAGTCCAACCCTCACGCCCTGTCAGTGACATGCGGGGGAGTCATTTCAGCGTCAGATCCCTGTCCACTGTCCGCTTATCCACTGACGATGCCCGCACTTGTTCTCCTCGATCGTCCCGATTCCCAAAATCTACTAGGGTACATGTTGACTGGTTGAAAGCTCGCACCCCCTAGAGCCTCCATATCCCCAAATTCAAATCTTAGACCGTTTAGGTAAAGCATCAATTTCCCTCTCCCATTGCCGGTCAACGCTGACCTGATCCAAATGGGGCACTCGCTCCCAGGCCTCGCGAAACCGTGAAACCTTCAACTCCCAAGCCGATAACCGAGCGGCAATGAAGGAAGCACTGGCCTCGGCACTTTCCCGAACACGCTCCATGGGAACCATGTGACCGCAAGGGAGAATGACCTCTTGAACCAGTCCGCGAGCCGCGCCGCCACTGCCTCCGACACCCGTGCCAGTACTCCCCACCTTCTCTCGACGAGCGGTCGGCGAAGACAGATCCGACTTGTCTCCAAATAGGTAGAGAACAGCGGGCTTCAACTCCGGTAATCGCCGAAACATCCACGCGGGCTCGGGGCGATAGAATGGATGAGTTTTGTCGACGTCGTCGGGGTGCATTTCTTCCCCGGGATAGCCGCGAGGGAGACCAGATCGCTCGTCGATGTAAGACGGCCGCATGTAGTAGAAAAGCTCTTGTGCCTTCGTCGTAGTCAAGGTCACAGCGGACGGCCCGGTCTCGTCGGTAATGGGATACAGTGGCGTGGGGAGATCTCGGAGTCCGTACTGGATCCATTTTGCAAACACGCGGGGATCCCATGCCTGGTAGAATGGACTGGTCTGGAATTTTTCGATTGCTTGCTGACGTGAGGGCCATATGTCTCGTCGGTACGTGGACGCCTCGGCGTATTTGCGCCCGGGGTTCTCGTGCTGGATCACAGGATCGATCAGGACAAGACCTTCGAATAACGAGGGGTGCATCAGTGAGAGATGAGCTCTGACACAGTTAGGGAATATGACCTTTGGATTGAAAGCGAAGAATGAAACCGTGATTTGAACTCACAGCTGCATCCCGCCCATGCTGTGACCGATCCCAATAAGCGGCTGCGGGATCTGGTCTTGGAACTGATTTATCATGGAAAGAAGATCACGTCCGTGATCGAACCAGTCAGCTAGAAAGGGTTTCTGGTAGTTAGTCAACTGGATCGGTTAGTGGTATCCATGGAGCGAAAACTCACGATCATGACCTATAATTGCTTCATTTAAGATACCGCTCTGTCCCTGATGAGCAACATCCGCGATCCAAATGGATCGAATGCGTCTGTTGTGACTTCGGAGTACCTCGTGAATATCGTCCCAAAGAGGCTCATACAGTTCCTGAACCACGAATGAGTTGCGTAGAAAAGACAGCCCGATGAAGAAGATGTAGCGATACCTTTGGAAAACCATTTGCATGAGCCCCAATTATCGTGAGATCTCCTTCTTGCGGTGAAGGGTTATCAAGAGGGATGTACTGCTTGACAGCAAGTTTCAGCTCATTCCCATGTCCGGCTTTCACAGCACCCAGACGCTCCCGGACATTTTGACACCGGGCTGTGTGCTCAATAACGCGAAAACGAGACATATACCTCCTGGTAGATGAGACTACTTGGCCGATCGATCGTAACCTCTGTGGCCTGCTCAGCATCATGGATGTATGAGCAAGCAGAATCTATCCTGAGAGCTGGCCTGCAGAATATACGGATGTATTTATCACGTCCCCGCTAGAACTAGCCGAGGTAGACATTATGATCAGCCTGCTAGACTACCGATGTGCAGTCTTGGCAATTCCTCCTGCATCTTATTTGATCTCTTTCTCCAATTTGGAGAAGTGGAAGAGCCGGATACTCAACGCTACATTGTGAATTGTGGGATGCTCTCCCGCGCAGCATTGCTTGATATCAATCCTGCATCCTTTTTTCGGGTCAGTTCATGGTGACTGAGACTGTGGACTAGATTCTCCTGGGTTATCAAGAGAAGTACATCACAGTACATCTCATTCAATCTCGTTCGCTCCCGAAGCTGCCGCACGGACACGCAGTGTTGACAGTACAAATCCACCAGCCTCGGCTTATGTGAGATGTGGTACTGTCTATTGTTGCTGAACTATGTTTCAGAAGAAAATGTCCTGAGCATATGAGCGCAGCAAAGGACGGAAAATAGACACAGGGAGAAGACTAAGCACGAGATTGCGCTTATGAGTCGGTTCTCCCCGAATTCTACAGTCGGCAATCGAGGCACAAAACATCATGGTAAAATAGTGACGCCACCAGGGGAGGCACGAGCACTGTAATGTAGACTAACATCATCGGCGAAAAACCCCTCATTCAATTTGGATATCTACTGCATGCTCCAGAAGATACGCAGATACGTATGTCCTCCCACCAGCCAGAAAAGATCGAACAGAGACATTGATCAGCACCTGCATGGCTTTTAGACGATGCTAGAATCTGCTGGTCCGGACACAAAGCTTTGGTGTCATTACAAGACATGCAAGACATGTGCCACTTAACAAGGAGTCTGCTCTGCACGCTCTTTCTCGAACGCAGCTGACACCTTTTATAACCATGCATGCGGGGGAAGACTCGCTTCAGGGAAAAGGAGGCTCTGTTCTATACCTTATACTATCCCGAAAATAGAGTTTGGCAATTTGCCTCAAGCATTGCATCATGGACCATCAAGCTATTTCGATTAGTGATGATCACCAACTCTGTGAGCAAGGAATTTTAACTCGTGGTTCGTGTCAGCTCGACGATCATCGGGGTTTCAGTTCAAGACGACGCTGCCACGACGTCATCTCAACTCTACTATAGGGCTGATCACTGTCACAGGTGTCAGAAGACGAAGGTTCAATCGAGTAGGAGGTGCATGATCGCCCCGTTGGAGGTGTAGTGGGATAGTCACATTTGTGTCACTATGAGAGTCACTGGAAAGTTCCAGTGGCTGACGGGTGGCTGACTACTTGACGGGAATGGCACCGTAAGGCATCCACAAGGAGATGGGCATCACCTAGAGATCTGGTGAGTTTCTGGTACAGGGACAGGAACAGTTGCTGCGTTCTAAACTGCTGACTCTGGTGCAATTAGTTACAAGCTTCATGTTGAGCGCGAAAGCATGACAACCTTCAATTACTTCATCAATGGCTTTGACTATCTTATCGGGTCGGTCATTCATTCCATTGCTTCTACCGTCGGTCGTCGACACGCGGCCTGTGTGGGCTGTAGAATGAACCCTGACAATTCTCAAGGGGGCGGATAGTCATCTGGAATTCATGGCCTTACGCGGTGCATATGATAGTCGTCGTCATGGACTCGAGCCCTACTATACCATAATTGGACGGGAAAGGACCGTTCGGCGTTAATAATTGCAAGACATCACCCGAACATCGAAGACTGACAGTCTATGAGCAGCAGAGAATTAAAGTGGAGCGCGATGGGGTAGTGATCAGGCACTCGATTACTCGATCTCGATCACCCAGCACCCGATCTACTTGGTGGTGAGATCCTTGAGCGGCGGGATGCAATGCCGGTAGCAGGTTTCGTGGGGTTTATGAAACGTGACAAAGAGGACGAGCCAATGCGTTCTCCAAACTCCACTAACAGTCTCCATCTTGCGGAGAAAAGAAGGAAAAGAAGGTGATTACTGTGGGGCTGCTTGTTTGGGAGGGGAGGGGCTTACGAATCAAAGCATTTACAAGGGCGCGGTAATGATATCAAGAATGCCGGGCAGGGCAAGGCTGTTGGTCGCCACGCTCACTAAGCACTTCAGCAGTCAAGCACCGCACCGAGAAACGCCGCCCCAAACAACTTGCTCACATTCCACATGCGCGTCGATTGAGTTCAGCTCTGACGTTACAGCGGGGGGAGCTCCGCGATTCACAAGCTTGTCTGCATGCTTCAACCACGGACCACCACTGTGCAGTCCAAGGTTCGAGAAATGATGTTGACGATATCGATAGAATCGATCACAACACTGCTCGAATTTGGAATATCCAACCTTGGAAATATAAAGCCATCATGGCCCGCTTGATCTGGGACACTCAACTCCTCATGCACTGGACTGAACCCTAATCCCGAGTAACATCTTGAACACACTCCTGTTCTCTCAATGTCCTCCTCAGCTGAATTCTTCCGCATCCCCGCGGCGGTCATCCGTCGCACCGCACCTCGTCTCAGTTCCACTCTTGGCCCCCTGGCCAACCGACCGGCCATCCCAGGGAAACTGGCCGCAATCTCTCGGGGAAAACTCCAGCGTGAAACTGAATCTCAAACCCCAGACCTCCGTCGGTGTCTGGGTCACCACCACATCTTCCGTCGCTGCGTCGCAGCCGAAGAAGAAGACAACGCACGATATCGTCGCGAAACCTACGAAGAGGATGACGACGGAGAATACTATCACCACCACTCTACAAGCCGGCGCGACTCGGACTCCACTCCCATCCGCACCCAGATCACCAAGGCTGTCAAAGCCATGGTGCGGCGTCGCGATGCCGACAACAACTCCATGCCCGACAATGGCCTAGTGCGCATGTCCTCCAACCGTGCCTCAGAGAAACCACGACCCTCCACCAGACACAGTCGCCATCATATATCCATGTTCGGCTTGCGACGGCTGATTGCCTCGCAGCAGACGACCTTCCAGCCGCGAGCACAGGCTGTGGCTTAATAATAACATCGAGTCGTATGAGTCGTGGCCGAACAACCTCAACAACCCGCTGTCACGACTCGACTCGTGACACACTACATTCTTTTTCATTTTCCCATTTGAAGCGAAGCTTTGGTTATGTGACGATTCATGAATTATGAGTATGAAGTTATGTTTTGTGATTTACAATCGAATCCTTTGTATATATCCCAGTGTTTACGCCTGGGGATTTAAAGATAATATTGAGAGAACCATATTTAAAGTAAAGTACTATTTACATCCAATGTTATTCTGACCAAGGATCAAACTCCGTACTACGCCACACTTAACCTACTATCTCCTCCCCGATGCAAATACTCCTTGCCACATGGATTTAAACCAAATTTAAAAGCTAAAAGTTTAATTGGCCGGGATTCTCCATCCAAGGACAAGCTCGAGATTAAATAAGCTAGCCAAGGCAATCTAGCGAAGTCCAGTATCTTACATTTGAATATTCAACAAAGCGAATGGTGAATCTAACCACAATACTGCCCATAGCTTGTGACTACCTAGTACACCTTGTCAGTATGTACCTGCCTCAAATCCCCGCCCCTTCATCCCTTTAAAAAACCCTTTCCAATCCGCTCAGCTGGTCCACCAACTAGCATAGCAACCCGCATTCGCCCGTGTCAGGGGTGTATTAGTACAACAAATCACCGACGTCGATCAAACATCTATCCCATAGAAGCCCATTGCGGAGCTTTCTTTTGTTGGGGGCGGGCGAAAGTTGTAGAACATACCACACACTTCGCCGCATACTGTTGTACCACCACGCGTTGTGAGCACGCGATGGCATTTGATAAGCAGCTGCCATAGTACATGAGCGGCGTGACTGCATCCGGAGTCGGAGTTCTTCTCATGAGCTTGGTATCTTCTCGAATCTGGCTAGTGGGTCTGTTCGAGCAATCGAACAGCATGTGGACAACAAAGGGTTGCTTTGGTCTCATTCAAGCGGCTTATGTTTTCCGGGTCGCTCATGCATTGTGTCTGTGGGCCGAGGGTTGATACGGGTCCGACAATCCCGGATTGAGCGGGCCTGTTCTGACTCTTCATCCGGTCCTTCACTGCAATATGGCACTTCCAAAACATGACAAGGTAGCTGGCAGTACATGTGCATGGCAAATCCTAGGAGAAAGAGAAGAGCCGTCTTTGCCGGTATTGTACTACGTCCTTCTGCCGATTAAATGGTCATTCTATTCTCTTCCCGTCGCGGCAAATAGCCTCGCGCTGGCGGACTCCAACTGGTTGCATTTCTGGGGATGGTGATGTCCCTTGGCCCCGAAGCATAACTCGCAGAAACGAAGGATGTGGACAATGAGGGAGCTAGCGATGAGGGCCAGAGGGCATTGCTTAGTGGATGGTTCGAATCATCGGTAGGTGCTCACTACCATATCCCCATGTGGGTTAGCTTAGTAGTAACACTTTTATCCTGTCATCGGCATTCCATTATCTGATTTGCTTTGATAGACACGTAGGGCTGAACCTAATCATTCAGGAACAATCAATCTGTCCTCTCGCACATTGTGCTGAGCGACTGTGAGGGTCGATCTTAATGCTAAACCAAGTCTTGTCTGATTGCAGGGGCACAGAGCCCTCTTGATTTTGTGGTCAAGGTAACCTTCCTGACGCTCAACCCCAATTCTCAGGTTTCTCTGACTGTGAGCCGGCGAACGTGATTGTGAATCGCTGGTAGCCTATTTTTGAGGTAAGGGGGCCGGGCTCAAGGGCTAGACTGCACGATCTCATAACAGACCAGAATATTTGCTTCGTGAATCTCCACTAGGGGGTGCGGGGCCCCTTTCTTCACAACCTTATTTCCGGGGCAGTTCTGGTGCCTAGATCGCTGCACGAGAGTGTCGCGTCGCGAAAATCATATAAAGGGAGCCCTGAACACTTCAACTTCCCCTGTATCCTTCTCTCTCTCGAACGCACACTCTAACCACTCCTCACTTCCAGTGTGAGAGTACAAACGAAGAGGAAAAGATGAGAGCTACTGTAGCTTTTCTTCTTGCCCTCCTCGCCACAATCACAGCAGCCATCCCCACCGCCACCGAGCGACTGGATATATGCGCCAGCATAGAGCTGACCTGCAATGCAGAGGTTCGTCACGGAAGAACAAGACAATTGGAGGGCCTTGAGGCTAATTGGGATGTAGCAAGTGAAATGTGAAGACCACTATGCGTATGAGGGAATCGACGCCTGCCCCGAGGATCCGTGGCGCAGTTGTCTGTGTGATCATGTCGGTAAACCCCTCCACATCTTTGCGGATTATCATGCTGATGGGCGCCCCTTCTGGTCTACAGGTTGCTGAGCACTGCATGGTACGTACTGCGTTTGTATAATTCAAGATCGCTTCGTGCCTGTACTTACGCGATCACTTTCTCCCGCTGGGTTTTATAGAGCAGAGCGGGGTGTCTATAGATCCGGGGTGATCAGGTTGAGGACGACCACACTACGTTGGGAGCATTATCTTGAATATGAAAGACAGGCAAAGAGTTGAGCAAGTCTCGCTTCACGCTAATCGCTCTCACCCAAATCAAACTCAGAAGCTTAATTATATCCCGCAGATGTAACCGAAAGTTCGGTACACCTTTTTTCTCGCGTTCTTCGGAACCAATGCGTCGGGACTGGGTGTGTTTGGCGCTTCTTCGATTTCTTGCGGTGGTTTGGGAAGAACAGTAGGCGAGTTGCACCAAAGGTGGTGCTTAGGGAGCATATCTTACCTGGTCAGGAGGAGACACGGAGTTTAGGAGCTATAGAGCCTCGGAATTGGAAAGCTTCTTAAACCCGTTAGAGGGCGAGTAGTCTACCTAGTAGGTTATGATGTTTGACTACAATATGGGTAGACCAGTTATAGCCGGTAGCCTAGGCATCATTGCATTGTAAGGAAACTTGTGTGTACAGTGCGTACATTGCACTAGATTCTCACCTCGGCAAAAGTCCAGGTAGAAGATGAACCTCTAGGTATGTTTAGCAAATTATAAAATGTATCCGAGATTGTTCGTGATGCTATATTACTTGCTTCTAGTACCCAATCTAGACCAGGATTGAGATCCTACTACATGCTACTTACTACTCACCAATAGCCGGAGTCCGCGCTATCGCCGAAGGCGTGATTGAGCTCCCTCACCACCTCCGAATCAAATAGCAATGGCTCTTCCCCCCTTCCGCTCTCTCCTAGGATTTGATCCAGACATGGCACAGCATAATGTTCCCTCCCGATCGACTCGGGTCCTTCTACCACTGCTTCTAACAGCATTCCTCTTCTTCCTGGGCGAAAATATCCAATCAGGTCCACGCACCCAAATCTACGAGTCCATTCTGTGCGATCAGATTCTCCCAAATAATGCCACTACACCACTATCGAGCGCCAGATGCAAAGACAAAGCTGTCCAAGAAGAATTGGCCTTCCTCAAGGGGACAGAGAGAGTTTTAGGAGCAATACCAAGTACATACTAGGCCTCCTTCTCACCCTTGCTTGGTATCCTGTGCTGACCTGCGACAGCCATCCTAGTGATTCCATGGAGTATCTTCGCCGAGCGATACGGCCGCTGTCTCTCCCTCCGACTTGCATTGTTGGGCGTCCTCTGTGAAGAAGCATGGAGTTTTCTGATATGCTGGTTCTCGAAAACATTTCCAATCCGCCTCATCCTCCTGGCCCCTATATTCGAGATGATTGGAGGTGGTCCCGGCATTATCATCACCATGATTCATATCCTGGCTGCTGAGACCGCCACGGAGGAGAAACGAACCACAACCTTTTTCTTCATTCGCGCCATGGCGATTGCAGCAGCCGTGCTGGCCCTACTCGGCAGCTCACTCCTCATGAGCCATCATGTGTGGGTGCCGTGGCTTTTGGGGTTATTCTGTCTTCTCCTTGCCATATTGACTACCCCGTCGGAGCTACATCCAACCACTACCCAGAATCCTCCGGATGAGCACACAGCATTGAATCCCGGACAGTATCTTGACGACCATATGAGCACTGTGTCTCAGGAGAGTGGCTCCTCTACCAAGGAGCCCGCTAGTATAAGATCTCGTCTTGTCCAAACAACCCAACAACTTCACCAAGGGGCGAGGGTTGTGTATGGCAACACCTCGCTCGTCATCTTACTGGGGATGTCCTTCTTGGGCCAACTCGGGGAAGACTCGCTTCCCATGGCTCTACTTCTTTACGTCTCGAAGAGATACAACTGGGAATTCGCTCGAGTATGTCTTTCAAGGGTTCTTATTCTGGTCGTCGTATGAATAAGCTAACAGACCCAACAGGCCAATTTCTTGTGGTCGTTAGGAGAGGCAGTTAGATTTGTGTGTCTTATCGTATTGCTCCCACGAATCAGCCGGATGCTTCTCTCGCGTGCTGGTTCAAATACCTACAAGACGGATTTTGCTATCGCCCTTGCCAGTGCAACGATGCTCAGCCTAGGGACCTTGTTGCTCGGACTGGGAGTATCCATACCAATTTCCACTATAGGTATGCTTGCTCTCTCCACCTCTAGTTACATCAGATCATCTGGTAATCTGGTATATGCAGGGGTCATTCTGATATCCGCCACGGGAGGACTTAACTCGGCCCTGCGGTCGCTAGTGACCATGACGATATCCTCTGAGGATATCAGTGTGGTGTATTCAATCTTCACGATCCTTCACGTTCTGAGCACCTCTTTGGCAGGACCAATCTATTCTGGTGCTTTCGCTCTTGGACTGCAGTTTGGGGTTGAGTACACTGGGCTCCCGTTCATTGTGGCTGCTGCTTTGGTTGGATTGTCGCTGCCAATGTTCTTTTTGGTTCGACCGCGCCGTGATTACGAGTTGGTCACGGGATGAATACATAGAGTACATTTAGGAAGCAACTGGTAGAATTGGCCATCCAATTGGAAAGGTGATCGGGAGACAGGCAGGGAGCTGGTCGACACGATTTACTATAAGAAAACTTCTACGACCAGTCTGCGACAAAGTCTTCGTTACACTGCCATGCAAAACAAAATCAAGCTTCCAAGCCCCCGAGCAGGTTTCTAATTGACGGTGCCGAATACAACTCCCAGCCACCACGCGG